AAGCAAATCAGATCGGCCTCGAAGTCTATGATGGCCCCGAGAGACCTCAAAGTAGCCACACTCATCAGGATCGGGCCGGCGCCCGCATCGAGGGTGTGGATCGTCATGGTACCCTCCTTCTCCTCCGCCTGGATTGCCAGCTCGATCGTGGAGGCACATTTGTTCTCCGAGCTGTTCCCAAAGGAGAAAACGGGTTGTCGCTCAGTGTCCACATTTCTGAGGCGGGAGTCTCCGCTCTCTTTCTTGTTGCGGTCCAGCACGTTCTGCACCGCCGTGATGCTGCCTAAGGTTTTGGTGGCCCCTCCGTCCACCACGCACCATCCTTTCTTGACGGCCTCAGCAGTCGACATTGCCGTTGGTTCCGTGGAAGCCGATAGAGCCTGCTCGGCATAGCAGACAAACGGGGCCTGCTCGTTCTCCTCGGTCTCCGCCAACTGAGCTTGTCCTGCTGAGGCGTCCTTCTTCGGACAGTTCGCTGCCCGATGTCCGATCTGGCCGCACTTGAGGCACTGCATCTTTGTATCATCTCGAGGCTGTCCGGGCTTCCAACCCGGATTGCCCGAGCGGTTGCTCCCATTGTTGCCGTAGGAAGTACCGCGTGGCGGTCCGCTCTTGAAGTACTGTCTCGAGAGCTTGATCTGTTGCTGCTTTGCCCTCGCTTCCTTCAAGGTCCGCTTCCCTTGTTGGATGATGGCCATGGCGTGTTGGATGTCCTCCTCGGTCTCCGCCACCAGGGCTTGTCCTTCCTCGGTCAGGTTGTCCACCTGGAAGCCCTCCTGGTTGTACTCGGCCTCGGACTCGCCCTCATCATCCTCGCCCAAATAGCTCGCATGGGTCCGCCCATGTCCATCCCTCTGCCGAAGGCTGGTTTCATCCCACTGTGAACGTAGTTCTTGTGCCACTCGTTGCAAGGAGTAGTCGCCTTGGATGGCTGTATGGATCATGTTCTTGTCGCTGGTTCCCAAACCGCTGTCTGACAACAGATACCATCCCTGGACAAAGTCCGGAAGGATCTCCACCAAGGGCTTGGCCGGTGTAGGCGGGCTCCAGGACCACGAGGAGGCGGACTGGGTGTCCCATCGATCCCAGCGGGATTGCCATGAAGAGTATCCACCCCATGACCAGCCTGAATGCCATCCTCCCCATCGCCATTGGTTCTCATCCTGGTTCTCCTCCTCATCCTCGGCGCCTGCACTGGTGCTGTTGCCTTCTGTCCCTCCATCCACAGGAGCTGCTGGTAGTCCCACGGCATCGCTCGCTGTGGCTGTAGAGTCCTGGCTCGCGCGGCGACTCCAGCTGTTTGGCCATGCACTGTCCTTGCCGCCCTCGGTGATCTTCACATTGTGGTGTGGTAGTACTCGTTGAAGTGCCTGCTGGGCCCTTAAGTATGTCTCACATTTCCGGGTGATATAGTCCGGCATGCTCTCCTGGCTGCGCCGGCGTGTCTGCTTGAAGTACCTGGTCAGGAAATCAGCCAGCTCAGACACCTGCGGTTTTCCCAGAGAGGCTCGAAGGGTGTCCAGCAGCAAGGTGACGCCGCCCGGAAAGCTGACCCAGTCGGCCTTGCGTCCCACTACGAGACGCTTAGCCGGTCCTTGGAGTTCACTCACCAGGCGTGGCCCCACCATGTACCTCTTGTGGTACTCCACACTCTGTTCATACAGCAAGCATTGCTCCTCGTACTCGTTGAACGTTGCACTTTCTCCGTTCCACTGTGGAACGCCATCCTTGGTCCTCGTGATTGCCCCCGCAACCGACATTGCGTTCTGCCTGCGGCCGAAGCAGCAGCAGCACTGGTCCCTGGATCTCCCAAACTCTCGTTCTCGGCACCTCCTCTGAAGGAGGCTCCGCTACCGTGCAAGTCGGTAGCTGGGGAGGTAACCACGATTCCCAAGCGGTAAGAAGCTCTGTGAGGCCAGCTGTGAAGCGCAGTGTAGGGCGGCGAGCAGCCCTTCTATCTGCACCCTAAAGCGGGCCTTTTTTTTCCCCTGAGCATTCGTAGCTGTGTTGTAGCCATCAATGCGTTACAGCACACAAGTGATTCACTTGCA